AAGCTACGTCCATATTGAACTCGGGAATCACACGAGCTCGCTGCACTAAATCACTGTCAAGATTACAGATTATACACAGCAACACAAATCCCTAAAAAACCCCTTCTTCAACCTGTAACTCACCCTAGAGATTACACCCTCCGAATCCCTATAAACAGCGTATACAATACACCCAGAATGACCTGACCCAGTCACTCAATCAACAAGTTACAAGATTCACTCAACCCAAATTGAAAAACCCTAAAGACTCAAAATGGTGTTTAACGAAGAAGAGAGAGATTTGCCAAAATGAATGAATTCGTAAACTGCCAAATAACTCTGCTTTTATATGGTTGACATTAGGGTTAAATTCTAGCCGTTAGATATTCTTTTCATCAATGCTTAGGATTGTTTCTTCAGTTTGGATCAAAACGACGTCGTTCCATTTAAATGCTAATACGACAGCGTTTCAAGCCATCATCCAACAATAATAGTGGTAATTTCATGGGGGGTGAGCTGATTAGTTTCTGGGTTCCACCAAGGGATGAATATAGGGAGTACTAGAAGTAGAAAAAAATGATTATATTGGGAGTAATCAAAACCAAGAGCGCTACTGCTACCCATATGATTTTGGTGGTAATTATAATGTTAATAGTGAGAATCCTGTGAGTGGTGAACTAAAGGTTAAACCAGATGGGCTTCAAGAAGTTGGGATGATGGAAGCATTAGAAGGAAAAGAAAGTGATTATATTGATAACAGTAGTCTAGGGTTTATAATGAATGATTTGGAGGGGACGGATAAGGCAGGCAGAATATCGGAAGACTTAGATGCAGCATATCGGGGTTGGAAAAATCAAATCAGTAGCCAGGAGTGCTACACATCTCATTATGAGCATCGTGCTATGGGAGGATTACAAATAGAAGAAACTGGTTATATGATTGATTCCAATCAAGGGGTTACATTGGAAGAAATAGATATGGCTGGAAGTAATAATCAGAATGAACACATGCATGATGAGAGCATTAGAAGAAGCAGATGATTATATTGATAACAATCTGGGGTTTAGGATGGACGACTGGGTGAATTGGAGCTGTGATCAAAACATTATGGAAGACTCCAACACAATATTGACTCATCAGCATGGTGCTGTTGGTAATGTAGCAATGCAATGGAATCAATAATGAAGAAGACTAGAATCACCATTCATATGCACCGCTGAAGCTGCAACCAAACAGTGTACTCAGTCGTAGTTAATGAGATTGTTTTATTGATACTTTCTGTACATGAACAAGAGAGAATTATTAAGTATTTTAATTTAGAATTTCTAATGAAAATTAAACTTCTTTGTTTGTCATGTTTATATTTCAAATTCAATCTATATATCAATGACTTGAAGCAATTAGCAGGTTAGGATTTCAGACAAACATGGTGTTTACCAAATAATAATATTGCGCAAAGGGTAATACTACGTACACTTATAACCCATGATGCTTAAACTTAAACTTTGTTGCATCATCTATAATGGTGGCACCGTCACATCCTACATTTTCTCGCGAATGAGCCTGGATTCAATTTATAAGCTTTGGTCACACTTAACTAAATCTTCATCTTCTTCTTGGCAGTCTTTCATGTGGTATAAAATGCTATTACCATGATGCTTGGGAGGCTAAACGTATTGAAACTAGAAGACTCTGCTTAGTTTCAAAAATTGCTGCTTTATAGGTGTTTTGCATTAACATATAGTTATGTTGGACAGGTTCGTAAATGGAAGAAGTGGGAGTTGTATACTCAAACCCCTGACTATGAGTTCTCAAATGGTATATTTTCCTTGAGAAATCGAAAATCGTTTAATTGATTAATTATCTTTTTGGGTTCCTGAACCCAAATGCCCCAAGTTACATCCGAATACCTAGATTTGCGTATCATCTTCGAAGCTAAATCAGGTGTATGTTAATATGTAGATCCTTCAAGATTCAGACTTACTCATGAGACATCTTTTGTCAGAGCACACACCAGTATTTGGCCAAGAACTCCTCTCTAAATTTACATTGTAAGTATTTAACCAGAAAATGGAAATCTTGTTAGTTCAATTCAAATTAGGGATTCCAACATGTGATTTTTTTTCAGAAAACAAACCTCACAAAAAGCAGTCTTAGTCTATTATGAACTTTTTCTTTCAGCATCATGTTTTCTCCAGAAATTGAGTGCATCTCTGATTTGCCTGAGCTTCTGGTGAAGCTTCCCAAGCCCGCTTCTCTGATTCCAGAACAGTTACTTTGTCATCTGCGGGTATTAAAACAACAGTTGAGTTAAAAGTTCAATCAAGAGTTCATCCAAAAAATGGGACAGATTCTTTAGATAGGATGCGCCGATGCGACACACAGTGTCCCCTAGCATTTGATATGATAACCATGACCATGATGGTAATGCATCATGATCAAACTATCATGATAATGCATCTTGATAGCATTTGGTTCTATCATATTATGAATAGTATTGGAGTAAATCAAAATGAAGACATTTATTATTAATTTTGAATGCATCAAACTATTTTATAAGTTTTTTGGACAGTACAAAATAACAAAGCAAAAAAATTTAGTACTTATCTTCATCAAACTCTTTCAATTACATAAATTTTGTCTCTATTGTTGAAAATATAATTAGGGTTTATTAAATTAGGGAAGAATTTAGTACTTACGTGATCTTGATCAAACTCTATCAATTTCTTAAATTTCATCTCCATTGTTTCAAAATATAATTAGGGTTTATGATTGTAAGAGGAAATAAAATTTTTAGATCCATGTAATTTTTTTTTAATGTCTTATTTAATAATTTTAATAAAGGATAAAATTGTAATTAAAAAATTTCATAATAACTTAGATCTAAAGAGATAAAATATGGGACCAATAGCATCACTCTTATAATAGCATGATTATATGAATTATATAAAATAACATGTTTATAAATTACATTAATTGTCATATATATATATAGTAAAACTTTTCTATAGTAATACTCTATCTAGGAATAAACTCTACATAGTCATAACAAATTGTTTATTTAAAGTTGTTTGAGACAATGATTTATGCTTTAGAATTGTTATCACATGAAACCAAAATATTTTAAGTTTCTCAAGTATGTTTAGAACTTCATGACACAAAACTTTTTATATTTCCCTACTATCATCCTTATGATTATTTTTTTTCTCTTCTTGTCTAATTGCAGTAATGATTTCTTCTTCAGTTAAAGAATATACGATTTGTTACTGATTTGGATGATCGAGGAAGAAATTAATATCCATTCGATTAGTATAATGAAGTTGTCGAATTGATCACTCAGTTCTGCAATGACTATTTTATTCTCTCCATCCACTTCATTTGTAACTTGCAATTCATTGACATCGGGGGTCCTAATTTTTCAGTGCTTAAAATCATTGACAATTGTTTGTGGCTTCACATCAATTGACCATGCATCAACTGTATTTACAGTTTCATTAATGATACTTATCTTTGTTGGTTCCAAGACATAATCTTCTATCCGTTTCAAAAGTAGACAATTGAAGCGTTGAATTGAAATTATAATACTTTATTACTAAAACATGACTTATAAAATAAGAAATCAAAACAATAATTTTTGTAACGACATTTCTATTAAATTATAACATCCTCTTAATAAAGAAATTAATTGATCATACCATTATTATTATAGAGAGGTTATATATATATGTTGCCAATTATATTTACTTTGTCTAATAAACACCGGATGTTGAATTAATTTTAAATTGAAAATAGAAGCGCGAAATTTTTAGAGAATTCGTCATCACCCTAAAAGAAATTCTTTAATGGGTCAAATAACAATATTGATGTGCTTGTATTCTGCCTTCTTCAAGAACTGTTTTTAATTATTCACTTTAACTGCATATTTCAATTCAATTACAATCTTTTTACTATAAAAATGTTACCTTATTTTAATTAGGAATGACAAATATTATCTTTCTCTATATGGATTTTAATTACACCTTCTCTATACTAGATTAATATTACGTACTCTATTTTCATTGGGAAACAATTAGGAATGACACATATTATTTTCAACTATATATTATAAGAAAAATTGTTATACCATAGTTTAAATATTAAACTATATGAATTTGGAAACAAATACATTTTAATTAAAACCTCTACGACCCGAACCTAATAGACTGAGCAATACTCGGCAAAGAAAATGCATCTGACCCATTTTGATTTGCAGAGAAATAATATAGTTGTATACCAAAATCTAATGATTTTTTAATTTACATAACCAAATGTGAAATTAAAATTTTAAACTATGTAAATCAAAATATGAATAAATGTTGATTGCTCAACTTACATGAGTTATAGTTGCACTAAAAATGATATTGAATGCAATATATATACAATTAGGAACTTTTATTATTGTAAAAGCAATTGTGTATGTTTTGTTTTGATTGTATACCTCGGCATAAGGGTTTTGTTGTAATTTACCTACTCCTTTTCAACCCTCTTTTTATGTTTATTTTTTCTTATAATACTGTACAGCAGTACAACCATCATAAGAATTCTAAATTTGTATTGTAATTGAAATTAATATGAAATAAAAATAAGCAGGGCTGAAATTAATTAATGCTATGTACGTAAGTGACATAAATTCAGAGACATCGTAATGCTATTGCTATGTACGTAACCAACTCTTCAATTTTCACACTCACATCCCCCCTTCTCTCCCTCTATATAAACCACCCCTCCTGGTTAATAATAATGTTAGTGATAAGGCATAAAGGTTAACTAAAATTCAACTTAGTTACAGACAAGTCCGTATTAGTTAATTATCTAATAAGAACCCTAGGTAATTAAAATTGTTTTACTACATTAATTTGATAGAAATAAGGAAACTCAGGCGATAAAACGGAAACAAAGATATAGTAGGATTACTTACTATTCACGCTACTGTCTCTATATATAAATCTCTCTCCCTTTCTCTATCTTTTAGTCTAACAATAATGGAGATTCCACTGTGTTATCGTTTTGATCCAACTGATGAAGAAATCATTCTTCATTATCTCTATAACAAAACTCATGGCTTCCCACTCTCTTCATCATCTGCTATGATTGACTGCGATCTCTACGATGAAACTGATGCCTGGAAGAATTTCTTTAAAGCGACGAGAGAGACTACTCTTTACTTTTTCACAAAGCTTAGAAAGAAATCGGAGAAAGGTTCCAGAGTTGAACGTGCTACAGGAAGCGGAACATGGAGAACTCAGGGTGATGAACATTTGTACAATGGTGGTGACAGAAGACAACACATTGGATACAAACGGAGTCTTACGTTTATCCCCAAGAAGACTGAAGAAAAGGGAAAATGGGTGATGAAGGAATATCGGCTTCATGACAGCCTATTGAGGAACAAGAAGAGTGATTTGGTAGTCTGCCGAATCAAGAAGAAAGTCATAGAAGAAGAAACTATGAGAAATAATAATAGTGGTAATTTCTTGGGGGGTAAGCTGATAGTTTCTGGGTTCCACCAAGGGATGAATATGGGAGCACTAGAAGTAGACAAAAATGATTATATTGGGAGTAATCAAAACCAAGAGCGCTACTGCTACCCATATGATTTTGGTGGTAATTATAATGTTTATAGTGAGAATCCTGTGAGTGGTGAACTAAAGGTTCCAGATGGGCTTCAAGAAGTTGGGATGATGGAAGCATTAGAAGGAAAAGAAAGTGATTATATTGATAACAGTAGTCTAGGGTTTATAATGAATGATTTGGAGGAGACGGATAAGGCAGGCAGAATATCGGAAGACTTAGATACAGCATATTGGAGTTGGAAAAATCAAATCAGTACCCAGGAGTTCTACACACCTCATGATCAGCACCGCGGTATGGAAGGATTACAAATAGAAGAAAGTGGTTATATTATTGATTCCAATCAAGGGGTTACATTGGAAGAAGTAGATATGGCCGGAAGTAATAATCAGAATGAACACGTGCAAGAGTGCCACATATATGAGGCGAATGGTGGTAATTGTGTTAATAGTAAGAATTGTTTGGATGGTGAGAACATTGTTTCAGGAATTTCAGAAGAGATGATGAGAGCAGTAGCAGAAGCAGATGATTATATTGTTAATAATGTGGGGTTTACGATGGAGTACGACTGCGTGAATGGGAGCTGTGAGCAAAACATTATGGAAGACTCCAGCACATCATTGACTCATCAGCATGGTGCTGTTGGTAATGCAATGGAATCAATCACCATTTTTATTCACCGCTGAAGCTGCAACCTAACAGTGTACTGAGTTCCTAGTTAATGAGATTGTTTCATTGATACTTTCTGTACCTGAACAAGAGAGAATTATTAAGTATTTTATTGTAGAATTTCTAATGAAAAATAAATTTCTTTGTTTGTCATATTTATATTTTAAATTCAATCTATATATCAATGACTTGAAGTAATCAATTAGCAAGGCAAGACTTAGTAGCGAAATGGAGCTCACAAAATTACAATGCGCAAATTAATATGAATATTGATGAGCTTATTGTATGAACAAGATGAATGAACATAATATATTATCGTGCCATGCATTATATTTGTTTATAAACTTATAACCATTCATTTAGTTAATTAATCTTATTTATAGATTACATGTTGGATCAAAAGGAAAACACTATATAATTAAATTATATAGTGTTTTCCTTTTGATCCAAACCATGAAGAAATACTTCCCCATTATATTTACAATCAAACGATGAAGAACATGGAGAGCTAGCTGAACAAGAAAAAATTTGTACAGCAGTTGACAGAAGACGATCCATGGATACAATTGTACCAATAAGAACGTTTGAAGAAAACTGCAAGTGGGTGATGCATGAATATTGGCTTCATGAACGTCTATTGACGATGAATTAGAAGAAAGATTTGGTGCCAAGCAGAATCAAGAAGAAAGTCTCCAAGGAACAAGCAATTATAATTAAACTTCAATAAATTCACGGTGAATTATATACATTAATTTTGATAATCAAGAGGACCCTTGTTTTTTTATCTACAATCAATTATGTATTTATCTAAATACAACAAACAACCTTGGACCAAAATTAAGAAATTGAAAATACAATTTGAGGTTTCAAACATTGTCAACCATCTGTCTCCAGCGAACTTTGAGCACCACAAGAAGTAATACTCGACCATACCTTCATTTCATCCTTTTACTGTCCAAACTGTGATTGACCATCCCCAACAGTTCAAGTCATGGACTTACGGTGGTTATTGTATAGCTTGGAGGTGATGCTGTACTTCAGGCCATGTATGCTCCTGGTGTATCATGTCATTATCAAAATCACACGAGTACACGGTAGTAATACACATTCAGATTTAGTTTCAGCATCAGCANAAAAATTGAAGAGGATTTATAAAATTAAAAAAAAAAATTTACAAAGAATTGAACAACATGGGTCAGGATTTCTCAAGAGATGATTTCCTGGTCCAGAAACTGATGCTGTTTCTCTAAAACCCAAGGTCTGACTTTGAATCCAAGGTGTAGGTCTACAAACCTTCTTTGCAATCCAAGTGCACTTCCTCTGGAAACGCACGGCAGTTTTTTTAAAATCACCAGAAAAAATTAGGAAGCGTCAATAGTATTGATGGTGTAAACCCTCCGACGGTCAAGTCAATATTGAAATAAATTGATAGCCCTCAAAGCTCCTAGAAATGTGTTTAGAGAGTATTTACTGGTTTTAAGTTGATTTTAGTAGAGAAAAGGTATGGGAATATACTTATTGATGAGATGAGTAAGGCAAAGAAATGCGAGATTTTTCATTCCCTTGATACCATTTCCTTTATATATAGAGAGGATTTAGGTAACCCGATTGGATAAATTTTCCTTTAATAGCTACTAGGGCTTTTCACACTTCTTTTGTCCAAGTGGCATCCAAATGTTGCCTTATCTATCCCCTATTATCCGCGATATTTTTTTTCTATAATTGTAAATGATTTTGTCCTATCAATTAGCACTTAGGTGGAGCTTGCATGTATAATATTTTCTACTTGAAACATTTCATCTGACTTATCTAGTGAATCTTGACACTAAATGATTAGGGTAAGATATCTGCAATAAAAGATTTAAAATGAAAATATGGATAAAAGGGGACTACTAGTGGATAAAGTAATAATTTGATGACAATGGGTTCTGAATAAAGGTTTGATAAACCCTAACAAATGTAAAGGACAGCTGATCCAATAAATTGTTTTAACCTCTCTATATAAAGAAAATAACACCAAGAGAAGAGGGATCCTCTCATTTTTGCCTCATTTATTTTTCTCTAAGAAAAAGAGCTTTTTTTTAAGAGAAATATTCTCATTCTTCATCCTCTACCAAGACTATCAAAAACCATAATAATTTAAACACTATTTGAAAGGATACGTGTTGTATTATAATCATGTGTTTACACTAACTTGAGCGTTGAAAGGTCCAAACTAACAACCTGTTGAGACATCCTAACCTTTTTGGTGTTTTTACAATTTTCCCTAGGTGCTTATTGTTCAACCCAAGAGGAATTTTTTCTCGTTTATGGTTGATGTCTAAGATCTCATATAGTTGCCTTAAGCCTACATCATTATCAATTGTGAAACATTGAGTTCAAGATGGTAAGTTTTCTTTCCTAAGCTCACATTACACTGTCTTTCAGAAATACTCTTCCTCTTTAACTATAAAAAGCATCCCATTAATCTCATCTTTTTCTAACTTCTAGACCACTCAAGTGCCGAGCTAAAATTGGGAAATAATGACCAAGAGATGCTTTTTTGCACTTTAGCCTCTGTTGTTCAGCCTTTCCAACAAATAAAACCTTGATCCCCATTTATGGGTGTTCGGTTGACATTTCCCACGGCTTCAGTGATTCTAGACCACACATTTTGTACATTACTTTAGAATCTTGAACAATATCAGGCACCAGCTCATAAAATTGAGTCAAAATCACAAGCCTTAATGATACACATCATATTTCCACTTCCGAAAACTAGATCATATATAGCAAGACCAGCAAGATACTTGAATTTAAATAGTACCTCACCAGGGCATTTTTAGCAATGACTTCTTCCATTTTACTGTGACACATGTTAAAGAGCTTGACAAGTTCTTTCTGCATAAATTTGGAAGTCAGAAGGAACTGCATGAAAATCAATAATCTATGACTAAAAATAAATGAACCAGAAGATAACTACATTAGTCAACAGCTTAAGGATCTCGGGATGTAAAATTTAAGTTCTACGACAATGTTTACTCATTCTTCAAATAAAAGTAGAAAATATAATCGATAAAACAAATTGTAAAATAGTAGCACCTCTGTCTGATTGGCAGTTTCATCTAGCAAAGAAGAAGTACTCTCTAGAGCCTCTCGCTGAATGTCAAATCCATAAACACGAGCTGTACCAGACTCATCAGCAACCATTTTGAGCATTGCTAAGGTATCATAGCCATTGCCACATGTGGCATCTACAGCAGTATCACCTTTTTGGACAACATGTTTCCATATCCTGTGATTACCATGAGGCCATGTTGAAAAACAAAATAAAGCTGAGAACCACAAGACATAATAATTACTACAAATAATATATTTTCCTCCAAATCAGTTGCCACTATAATCTCTTAACTTGCAACTTCAACAATCCCCAATAACAGGACATGCAAGTAAGGTTTCTTTTCAGAAATCCCAAACCTGCATAGCGAATTCAACAAACTAACCCTAAAAACTTTACAAAGCAGGGAAACGATGGGTTTTGGTCGAGTATTAAGCATTCAGTATGTATTTATCTTTAATGCAACGTCGTTTTCTATAAACACGATCATTTCAATTATATAAACCAGCAAAGAACCAATCAATAGATAATGTTACTGAAAAAGAGTGTTAAAGAAGAAGCTTACAAGTGAGCCACTTCAGTAGCCTTCTTCTTGCCAAACACATAACCCACCAAATCATCCTCTAGTCCTGCAATTACATCATCAAAATATGAACTTGATAGTGTTAAAAATACTGAAAAATCTCAATAAAAGAAGAAGAAGAAGGAATTAAGGTACCTGAAAGAGGGGAATCTGTGAAGAACGAAGGTGATGCGGTAGTGGAAACAGCAGACAAGTTTAGCTTTTGATGGAAGGAGAAAGAGGGGGAAGATAGAAAAGAGCTGGGTTTTGAGAGTAATTTTGGGAGGAGGGTTTTAGAGGAAAGTGGAAAAGAATATGAGAGTGACGGTAGTCTTGAAGATAACATCTCCACCTGATTACACTCCCCAATTATCGTTACAGTTTTATTATGGGCTTTGCGATTTTATTTTATTTTATTTTTAATAAGGTGTCCAATTAGTTTATATATACCTCAATTAATCTTTTAGACTCTTTTTTTTAAGTATCCGAACCAATTTATGTACATTTTTATGTACATTTCAACTAATCTCTCAAACCTTAAAGTGAACGACCGAATAAATATTTCTCAATGACCACTTCTACTAATTTTTAAAAGAACTCAAACTCAACAACACATATTAGAATCCTGTGCTCTTTTACCAGCTACCGTGGTGCTTTCCTTTACAAAATCTAAATTTCTACATTTCTCTACCACCTTTTGTATAAAAAATCTAAATTATGTCACAATATTTTTGTCATATTTAAATATAAAAAAACATTTTTTATAAAAAAAAAAATATATATATATATATATATACAGTTCAATGAAAGAGTTATTAGAGAATATATGAGTATAGCGTTCTAGTAAAGATTGAACTTAATGCAAGGTAAAGGTTTTAGGGTGTAAATTTTAAATATATATAATCACCATCATTATATTAATATCGAACAAATTCAACCTCTAAATGTATAGAATGGTACATCTTGAAAAACTAGGGGTTCGTTTGTTTTGTTATTTTGAATAAGATTTTGTGAATAATATTGGATAGTTAAATAAGAAAGTATTACGATGTAAAATTTAAAAATTAACAAAAAAACCCCTAGGTTTACTAATTTAACTAAACACTTCAATATATAAAATTTTTGTAAAATGACAAAAACACTCTCACCCATTCAAAGTGTTAGATTCTAGTCACCACTGTCAGAATTTAGCCGAAAAATGACATTACGAAATAGACCGGTCAGATCTAGCAGGTAAGGCATCGATATGACCTTTTTTGACCAAATCTATCACGGATCTGATCAGAAAAGGTCAAATTGGTGAATTATAGACCAATTCCGATCGTTTGTAGGCTGTTGTGATAGATTTTGACTACCACCGACAATGATTGTTGAAATCTGACAAATATAAGTGGGTGAGAGTGTCTTTGCTAAATTTTAAACTTTTTTTTTTTCAGAGAGTATTTATAAAATTAATAAACTTAAGGAATCTAAAAGTAATTTAAAAAATATACTAATATTTCTTAAATAATTAAACAAACAAATATTTTGAGAATATGGATAAAAATATAAACAAACGGTTTGTTTCTCTTCTTTGGTTTAAAATTTTCATATTATTATGTGTCTAATTAATATTGGGGGAATTTAATTAAATTTAGAAGTGCCATGCCATCCCATTCCTCTAATATCCAAATTCTGTTTGCATGGATATTTCTTTAGCAACGTCTCTTAAGATCACTGTTATGTATTCATCCAGACACTGAAAAAGGAACACAAACACGAGTAGGAAAGCAAACCCTCATTGAAATGTTCCAAAATGGATCAAATCCAAAGCAATGCATCACTATTGATGCCTGTGAGATGATGAACATTTATTTAATCTGAAGTTACTTTTACAGCCTCTACAAAATCAGCTACATTTATAACTAAATTCACTCTGGCCGTAAACCGGCCATATTCCAGCAGGCAGAATGAACAAAAACAGGATTCATCAGAGGCTTAAGCATCATCAAGAGCAAGGACTCCTGGCAGTGTTTTGCCCTCAAGGAGCTCCAAGCTTGCACCACCTCCTGTCGAAATGTGGCTCATCTTGTCAGCAAGCCCAGCCTTCTCCACAGCTGCAACTGAGTCACCTCCTCCAATGATTGTGGTCACCCCCTTACCACTGAGGGCAGCAAGCTTCTTGGCAATTGCCTGCAAAGAGAAAATAATTATATGAACAAATTCTCAAATAACATTTGTAATTTAGGACTGGCATCATCCAAATTTGAAACTTCAGAAATAGTTCTTATTTTCCCAAAAAAATCTTCCATTAAGAAATTCCAAATGAAAAAGGGCTACTCCAAAATCATTTCATGAAGCTCCCAAATGTAAACCCACACTCTTCCAAAACACATAATTTGACAGGATAATAACCACCCAAAATGTAAAGAAAACAAGTTTTTTGTTATATACTGAATTCTACAGCAACTATGCGGTGATGATCCTTTTAAATATGCTACTACTACTACAAGCATACCTCAGTTCCCACTGCAAATTTGTCAAACTCAAACACACCCATTGGTCCATTCCAAATGACAGTTTTGGTAGTGTCCAAAACTTCACTGAACGTCTTGATGGCATCAGGTCCAATATCAAGGCCCATCCAACCATCGGGAATTGCAGTTGCTGGCACCACCTGCAAGAAAATCAAACATATATTTCAAATCCTGAACAAATTCACATTTACTATATTTTAAAGAAATTCAGTTTTCATTTGCAACCAAGGAGGGTTTTGTTATGCACACAAGACACATTGACTACATATTAACATTGTGTCCACAGAGAGATCATTAGATCACTACCCTTAGTTCTCAGCATGAAACACTTATTCAAAAGGGTTTTAATCTCCTCCATTGACTTAAGCTCTTATAAAGAAAGATTTCATAAAAAAACACAAAAACAAAATTCTGATTTACAAAGTTACAAACCTTACTGTTAGCATCAGCAGCAAACTTGTCAGCAATAACAACATCAGTAGGGAGCAAAAGAGACACTCCTTTAGCCTTAGCCTTCTCCATAAGTGTTGTTGCAAGTTCAAGCTTGTCTTCCTCCACAAGTGATGAACCAACGGAGTGTCCTTGGGCCTTGTAGAAAGTATAGATCATACCTCCACCAAGTAAAAGAATGTCAACCTTCTCCAAGAGGGACTCAATGACCCCAATCTTTGATGAAACCTTTGAGCCACCAACGATTGCAGCAAATGGTTTCTTGGGATTTGACACAGCTCCAACAAGATAGTCAAGTTCCTAAATCAAAAAAGCAAGTCAACAATCGGGCATATTAAACCAAAGGTTCCATGCATTGGGGACAGCATAGACAGCTCATGTAAGCCACTATGTATAAAATGAAAAAAAACCACAGAACTAGTTTGAGTTTGACTGTGGTTGAGTAAAACAAATTTCATTGAGGGCAGAGACTAAAAATAAAACAGTACAATATGAAAAGCAAATACCTTCTGCATAAGGAAACCAGCAACAGATGGCTTCAAGTATTTAGCCACTCCCTCAGTAGAAGCATGGGCTCTATGAGCAGTGCCAAATGCATCATTCACATAGAGATCTGCAAGCAAAGCTAGCTTCTTAGCGAATTCTGGGTCATTCTTCTCTTCTTCTTTGTAGAACCTGACATTTTCCAGGAGCAAGACACCTCCATCTGGGATTGTAGCCACCAATTTCTGAACTTCTTCACCAATACAATCATCTGCCATTTTAACCTATAGAAGAAAGATAAGAAAATCAGACAAGGCATCAGGCAAAAAAATTCAAAGCACAAGAATCACCATTTTAAATGTTAATACGGAAGAACAGACCTCAACTCCAAGAAGTTCAGAAAGCCTTGGTACAAGAGGCTTCAAACTGTATTTGGGAGTGACACCCTTAGGCCTTCCCTGAAAACCACAATGCAAACAATTTCATAAGTATTAAAATACTAACCAAAAAAATATAGTTTAAACTAAATGAAAATAAAATTATATGAGTGGATCGATGTTTATGTGGCAATGCAACTACATTGAGCAAAGTTGTCCAAACAACAAAACCAGTTTTCAATGACTGCAACGTATTAATCAGTAGTGATGCCAACAATTCCTTAACCCCCATTGAATTTTCTTTACACATTGGTTAATAAAAACAAGTGATTCTCCTTTATAATTTACTGATGCAGTGACAATTAATCACAGTTTGTGCCAATAAAAAACTAAATAATTCAAAAAACAACAAACAAGGACCTAACAAACTAGAAAAGACAAAAACAAGATAATTGTACAAAAAGACAAAATGATGATTAGAATAAACAATAAAAGATCATGCCGCAACAAAATAAGGAAACTGATAAGTGATAAGATGACTGTCTCGAACTTCAAGACAAGGTAAAGGACTCATCGGCACATCCCAAGGCAGTTTTACCGCAAATATGCATTCACTACCAACAATTCATTTTGACATCATTTTTTTGACAACCAATACTAATGATACTTAAACGGATTATCTGATTAAAAAGCTCATTTCCAATGCTAACATAATATACATCATGTGCGGGGTACAAATTAACTAGAAGTTTGAAAACGAGGAAAGATAAATCATACCCCAAAAAATTGTAAAATTAATCAATAAAATTGGCAAAAGAAAATCAAATCAAAAAGCTCATTCAAGTATATCAACAACTATAATTTATGTACTACGAAGCAATAATTTAAAATAAATATACAAGAAACTGATGTAGTACACCTAACTCGAGTTCAAAGACAAAACTTTTCAGATCAGTCAATAACATGGCCATCAAGCATCAACCAAAAGAACTTCACCATCCTATTCAGCTAAAGCGGAAAACCAAATTCAGGAAGAGAAAAAAAAAATGAAAGCAAGTAAACTAAGGTTTTTAAGATTTAGCATCAGATAGATGTAAATATCAAACAAAAAGTTAATATGAATAAGACAGGATCCCCTTCAAACAGATCTAAAGAAATCTAGCAGTTCAAAAAATATATATATATAAAATACCAAAAATGTGAAAAATAATAATAATAAACACCCATAAATCATAAACAGCCAAAATCGAAAAAATAAGATCGACCCAGCCAGCAAAAAAAGTAGCAACAAAACAGATCCCAGAAAGAAAAAGGCACGAGATGATATATGCCAAAGAAAACAAAAAAAAGATAAAATGCATGAATAAAAAAACTAAGATCGACCCAAAATTAGCGATAAAACAAAAACCAGCTAGCAAAAAGCAAAAAAATGGAGAAGAAATATACCAAATGACTAGAGAGAATAACTTTGGCGCCATGTTGCATCAAGTACTTGATGGTGGGAACAGCAGCACGAACCCTGGTATCATCAGTGATCTTCAAGTTATCATCCAAAGGCACGTTCAGGTCCACTCTTACGAACACTCTCTTTCCCTTCAAATCCGCCTCTTTCAGATCACTAACACTTCTCTTGGCACCCATCTTACAATAATATCAAACCTAAACAAAACAACGCAAATTAATCAATCAAAAGCTCAAAACCCAGATCGAAAATCCAGAAAATAAACCAGACGAGTAGGAAGTAGGAACATACAAGATCGGAGAAATCTAAGCTGAGGTTTGTCGTTTGTGTCTTAGTGAGATAGAAAGTTCGAGACTTTTTGTTAACTTATAGAGAAAGGGGGTTACTTCTTCGTGATTGATCGTGAGAGTCTAACTTTTGTTTTCCAATTTGGGCCCATTGTTTATTCGATGGGCTGATTTATGGGTTTGGGTGTGAGCTCATCTGTGGGCTAGGGTAAAACCGTCGGCTGATTGGAGGTGATTTTGCTTTGGGGAGAACAAAATTAAGGTCATCTCAATTACCTCCCCTAAAAAATTTGATTCTAGGGTGATGTTACAGTACAAGCCTACAAGGTAATGTTGCCCTCCTTTTATAATGGAATGATCTAATGCTCAAAAAATGTATTACAATGATCCAATTATTACTGACTTTCAATAGGTTTCGTAAATTTTTTTATAATTATAGTCATCGTCTTTCCCTTTGATAATCAAAGTTAAATTTTGACGATAATCAGAGAAATCCTATATGAAATAAGAGATATTTTCAAAAATTGTAAGGGTATTTAGGGAAGTAGGGCAAATGTTGGGAGGTCAACAAGATAAATCCATGTACGAGAGGAATATTCCACAAGACTATCATAATATTCCAAATACTCTAATTTGATTATTAAGCAAGGAATAAAGAAATTGTTATTATGTAAGAACAAGCATGGCCATAGATGCACCTCATTTTCTAGAAGTTCATCATAGCTTATGACTTTTTAGCCAAAGGGCTTAAAAAAGAATTTAATATAATAGAACATTTCAAAAAAATAAAAATAAAAAGGAAGTCAATCCTAGAGCATAAATGTTCTAAGTGAAAGACAATATGGGGAGTAATTATCTTTGGATTATATTATGGTCAGCCCATAAAACATGATCAAGGATTATAACTCTCAAAGGAATTCTTGTATTTTCTCATTTCAAGATGATGAGATGAGCTCAAAGGGTGGCATGATAAAGTCCAGTTTGAGTGACTCAAGCTTTCATCATCAGTCATGCCATTGCATAATTAAGAGGAAGAAGTATAAAATATGAAACATCCTTATGTTTACCTGTACCTTTAGAGAAACTGCATGATATCAAACCAGAATCAATCAAGACCTCTCATTTTTGTGGCTTGAACTCAATGAGATCATGTGATGCAGACTTAGTTGTATTACTTTTTGTGGCTTGAATTCAAGATTATATCATGTGTTCATATTTGCTCCATAAGTCCTTTTTCCAACCAACATCACTAGCCACTTGAAAATTCACATCAGTTTAAGAAACTTTAAGCAAGAAAGAAAAAGACATGATTCAGAAAACTAGCCTATTTCTCACCACTAAATAGCAGACTAAAAGATTAACATCTAAATACACAAAAGAGCCTGAGGAGAATAGAGAAGGATTTACTATGTTCATGGGAACCATATTCCAAAGGTTGCTGAGGAGGTAAAGTTGCCCCCTGCCCGGCAGCAAACCCCATCAATGTTTTCTCCTCATTTTCTGCTGAACCCAATCAATATCTTCTCCTCATGTTCCCGTCGTCGTTCACAAATTTTCTGTTCGTATCTTTTTTTCTTTCCTAGACTTCTGAGAATGTTAACAATGATAAGTTCATAGAAATGAAGCTTATAAATCATACAAACTAAAAGGAAATAGAACAGGAATTTATTTGATAAAAAGAACCAATTTATTTGATAAAAAGAACCAATTTATTTGAAAAGGATTGGATGGTTCTCTTTGCCCATCCTTACAGTCTTGTGTAGCAAAATTTGGCTAACAATGGAGGCAAAGACATAATGGAACCATATATTCAATGCAAAAGTGAAAATTTACAAGATGAACTCATGTTTTCCTACTACATTTTAATCTCTCGTTTACAAACTGATAACATCAACATGTCGGCCGGGAAAAANCATGTACGAGAGGAATATTCCACAAGACTATCATAATATTCCAAATACTCTAATTTGATTATTAAGCAAGGAATAAAGAAATTGTTATTATGTAAGAACAAGCATGGCCATAGATGCACCTCATTTTCTAGAAGTTGATCATAGCTTATGACTTTTTAGCCAAAGGGCTTAAATAAGCATTTAATATAATAGAACATTTCAAAAAAAATAAAAATAAAAAGGAAGTCAATCCTAGAGCATGAATGTTCGAAGTGAAAGACAATATGGGGAGTAATTAGCTTTGGATTATATTATGGTCAGCCCATAAAACATGATCAAGGATTATAACTCTCAAAGGAATTCTTGTATTTTCTCATTTCAAGATGATGAGATGAGCTCAAAGGGTGGCATGATAAAGTCCAGTTTGAGTGACTCAAGCTTTCATCATCAGTCATGCCATTGCATAATTAAGAGGAAGAAGTAAAAAATATGAAACATCCTTATGTTTACCTGTACCTTTAGAGAAACTGCATGATATCAAACCAGAATCAATCAAGACCTCTCATTTTTGTGGCTTGAACTCAATGAGATCATGTGATGCAGACTGAGTTGTATTACTTTTTGTGGCTTGAATTCAAGATTATATCATGTGTTCATATTTGCTCCATAAGTCCTTTTTCCAACCAACATCACTAGCCACTTGAAAATTCACATCAGTTTAAGAAACTTTAAGCAAGAAAGAAAAAGACATGATTCAGAAAACTAGCCTATTTCTCACCACTAAATAGCAGACTAAAAGATTAACATCTAAATACACAAAAGAGCCTGAGGAGAATAGAGAAGGATTTACTATGTTCATGGGAACCATATTCCAAAGGTTGCTGAGGAGGTAAAGTTGCCCCCTGCCCGGCAGCAAACCCCATCAATGTTTTCTCCTCATTTTCTGCTGAACCCAATCAATATCTTCTCCTCATGTTCCCGTCGTCGTTCACAAATTTTCTGTTCGTATCTTTTTTTCTTTCCTAGACTTCTGAGAATGTTAACAATGATAAGTTCATAGAAATGAAGCTTATAAATCATACAAACTAAAAGGAAATAGAACAGGAATTTATTTGATAAAAAGAACCAATTTATTTGATAAAAAGAACCAATTTATTTGAAAAGGATTGGATGGTTCTCTTTGCCCATCCTTACAGTCTTGTGTAGCAAAATTTGGCTAACAATGGAGGCAAAGACATAATGGAACCATATATTCAATGCAAAAGTGAAAATTTACAAGATGAACTCATGTTTTCCTACCACATTTTAATCTCTCGTTTACAAACTGATAACATCAACATGTCGGCCGGGAAAAAATCAATTTTGATCTTACACAGCAACTGGTACAGCTTCGTCAAGAGCAACAACACCAGGAAGTTCTTTGCCTTCCAATAATTCCAAACTGGCACCACCACCAGTTGATATGTGGCTCATCACCTCGGCAACTCCTACTTTTTCAACAGCTGCAACAGAATCTCCACCTCCAATGATTGTGGTGACTCCCTGGCCACTAAGCTCAGCTAGCTTCTTTGCAACCGCCTGCAAACAAGAGTTGGAGTTAGATTTTGATGTCTATTTAGAGTTGAGAAATGCACAAGACTCGTAATGGAGAAGTTGGCCACTTGTGGCACCAGGACTTTATAAGCCCAGGTTTATGCAGAGGGAAGTGAAGAAAGTTCTTTCTTGTAGAGAGAATTTCAAACAAACCGGTGAGTATAAGGTATGCAATAATTGAGAATCACCACTACCCAAACACTAGTTATACATTTTTTTTTTTTTTTTTTGGGATGCCAACAAGTAGTACATAACGCCATAGAAATGTAGTTTAAATAACATGCAGACTAACCAACCATGAAATTGCAAGATTAAACTCAATAGCAAGCAGTCTGTCCATACCTCAGTTCCAACTGCAAATTTTTCAAATTCAAACACTCCCATTGGTCCATTCCAGATAACAGTTTTAGTAGTTCCCAAAGCTTCATTGAATGTCTTGATGGAGTCTGGTCCAATATCCAATCCCATCCACCCATCAGGGATGGCAGATGCCGGCACAATCTGTAAAGAGCAAACCAGTATTTTACTCATTGCCATGATCATGACATATTCATAGATATTAGATTACCATAATACTCGGTATTAACCTGGAAAAACTATTGACTTAAGACATTTCTCAATCAACCACGATTTTAATCAGATTATATTTTGCACACACATCATTGTAGAGGCAGAACAAGCTTGGGGAAACAAAATTAATGTACAGGAGCTTAGAGAACAAACCTTGCTGTTTGCGTCAGGAGCAAATTTGTCAGCAATTACTACATCAGTGGGTAACAAAAGAGACACTCCTTTTGCCTTGGCCTTCTTAAGGAGTGATGTAGCAAGATCAAGCTTATCTTCTTCTACCAAGGATGAACCCACTGAGAGGCCTTGAGCCTTGTAAAATGTGAAGATCATTCCTCCTCCAAGAAGCAGGATATCACACTTCTCTAGGAGTGATTCAATAACTCCAATCTTAGATGAAACCTTTGAACCACCTACGATGGCAGCAAATGGCCTCTTTGGGCTTGAAACTGCCCCAACAAGATAGTCCAGTTCCTAAAACGAATAACAGAAATAAATATTAATGTGACTGAAAGTCCGACGAAGACATCAAGAAAGAATCCAATATTAGTCTCTTTCTTTTGACATGCCACTAGTACAGATTCCAAATCTGTGTAATTAGCACCAGAAAAAATTTAAGATAATGATGCAGAAAATAAGATGAAAAGCTTTGGAGTAAAAGCATAGGCAGATAAATTCATAAACAAATAGACCAGATCGTGGGCCAATAATTTTCGCTCATTGGACCTGTGCATGCAAACTTGTTGAGGTTTAATGAAGGGTCTAAATAAATCACAATTATCATTTTGCATATATTTAAGAAAAATAAATGAACTACAAATAATTGTATCCTTATACTTAAGCTCCATAATTCCAGAAGAGAACAAGAACCCAAATCCCACCTTCTGCAAGAGAAATCCAGCAACAGATGGTTTCAAGAATTTTGTGACTCCCTCGGTTGAGGCATGGGCTCTGTGAGCAGTTCCAAAAGCATCATTCACATAGAGATCAGCTAAAGAGGCAAGCTTCTTGGCGAATTCGGGTTCATTCTTTTCTTCCTCTTTGTAAAACCTCACATTCTCAAGAAGCAGAACACCACCTTCCGGAAGAGAAGCCACCAGCTTTTCCACCTCTGGACCAATGCAGTCATCAGCCTTCACAACCTGTTGGTTAATTGAGGAAAAACCACCATATGATATCAGTACCAATATCAATCCCATAATATTATTGATAAATTCATTATTGAGCTCTCCAGCTAACCTGAATGCCAAGGAGCTCGGACAGACGAGGTACAAGAGGTGCCAGACTGAACTTTGGAGTGACACCTTTTGGTCTTCCCTGAAAATCCAATGAAACGCATCAATGCTAATTCATACAGCTTAAACCCAAAACCATTAAACGATTAATATGAAAAAGAGCAAAAGGTAGTCAACTAAATCAAAACACCAATAAAAACAACGGACATAAAATTCTCCATTATCCGTAAGGCAAAACATCATAAAAATAAAAGCAAAAACTAAAAAGCTGTTTGATATAGAACATGAATTTTTTTTTTTTTTTTTGATTGATTGAAATATTTACAGTTCTTGAAAATCATATCAAATGGTGTTGAAAGTATTAAAACTTTCCAATAAAAGGAAAACTTTATTGACCATAAACTTGCAATTTGCAGAGAACACTGAGAAAACCCAAAAAAAGATTTGACTTTATTAAAAACCCACATACCAAATGGCTAGAAAGAATGACTTTAGCACCGTTCTGAATCAAATGCTTAATAGTAGGAATAGCCGCTCTAATTCTAGTATCATCAGTAATCTTCTGGGTATCATCCAAAGGCACATTCAAGTCAGCTCTAACAAAAACTTTTTTCCCTTTCAAATCAGCCCCCGTCAAGTCCCCCACACTCTTCTTAGCCATCGACACAACCCCACGTGTCGCCTTACCCTTGATCGACCGGATTCTGGACGCCACATGGAGGGACAAAAGAGGGTCGGCAGCCGTGAAGCCGAGGCGGCGAACGGAGCTAATCCGGGAAGTGGGTACACGCAAGAGAGAGGCACGGGGGGCGGAGGAAGCTGTAGTAGAGGTTGTTGAAGCCTTGAGCAGAGAGAGAGTAGTGGGTGCTGTGGTTGCTGAGGCCATTTTGTGACAGTGTTTGTTGAAATATCAAATAGAGAAAAAAAAGAGGAGAAATGGAGTTGGGTTGTGTTTGTGTGGGTAGTTAAAAGTGGAGTGAGAGAGAAGGGAGGATGTGGACGCGAAGAGCAAAGTATGAATGATTGGGTAATATGAAAAGATGACAAGATTTCTCTTATCGTTGAGGAGAGGTTCAAGATGTTCGATGCTTTTTATCGCACTAACTATTATAACAACAAAGTTACGGGCATCGAAAAATTTACACTAAAAATGTATATCAGTTTACGTATATCAAGCGCTTGATTTTTCTATCAATTTTATTCTATTAAACGATCGTCCATCAAATATGGATGATCGTTCATTCACATGGACTCCCGTCTATATTATATAGATAAGGGTCCATATACCAGGGACGAACGTCCCCATTTAAAGAATGTCTGTCCATAAATAAAATACAATTAAAAAATTTATAAAACATTAGAGACGACCGTCCATCCATCCATTACTTTTGGACGGACGCCCACAAATAATAAACGTCTATCCTTGACCCAAATATGAAAAAAAAAATCACTTTTGGGTTTTTGACGTCCGTCCTTACATTTGGAAGCCCGTCCATACTCTTAATAAAGAAAAAAATTCTAAACAAAACCCCTTCTTCTTCGTCTTCATTCCCCATATCCTTTCTAAGATGACTGATGATATAAGCATGTATCTTGGCAACTCTGGCTCGTTTCACGAATTCATTGACCTGTGAGGAAAAATTGCAGTCAGAATCCCCTTCAAGAAGCATCTTTGAGGAAATATTTTGAAATAAAGATTATATGGAAAATGGAGTGGATGGGCGATGACTGCTTTCTTTACACCTTTACTAATATGCAGAAAAGAATGAAACTAACTCACTCGGCGATCACAAGCCTTTTTCGGAATGTCTTTCAGATCAGCTAGAAGGTCTTCTTGTTCTTTTTCAAAAAGTTCTTTCCCAATTGGACCAGTTGCAACTTCAGTTACAATGTTCTCATTGAATGAGCTGCAAAAAGCAAGCGGGAGATTAACTTTGCATATTCAGATAATATTGAACTTAAATCATCAGACAGAAATGTATCAACATTTATACACATAAAAAGATGAAGAATCTACCCAATATAGACGCGGACAACTTTAGGAGTATTAAGTACTTTTCCTAATGACCACATCAAAGCTCCATAAACCCTCATCAGCTGAAAAAGGAGACCAGGTAAGCAGGTTCTATTGATATGATAAAAGACATGCATCTCCAAATTTACATGCTCAGAACTAGAAAAATAAATAACTGGGATAAAAAAAATTTACTTGTTGAGTATCAACTTGGTCTGCCTTGTTCAAAACCACACGGATTTTGTCATCATGACCACGCAATGCTGAAATCACACGCTTAAATTCATCACTAACATCAAGTTTGTGAGGATGAAACAGAAGTAGAATGAGGTCACACTTCGCAGCATACCACGATGTTACACCAGTTGTTGGAAATAACACAGAATAACAAATATTCTAATCTCATCCTAAGATCATGTTTATAGTCCCCCATTGCAGTCACATTTTACATATAAATGAACTACAATGAATTTACACAGTATAAATACCTCTTCTCCTTATCTCTGAAGCAAAAAATTGAACTTGGAAGAATAAACTGCGTAGAGTATTTTCCTTTTCAATTTTAGAGAGAGAGAGCGTGTTTTTCTTTGTGTGTTGGTGAGTAACAATTTACTAAAAGGAAAAACTTTCTTTTTATATGGGAGCAGTTCACGAGAAACTGCCTTTGGCAGTTTCCACTTCTCACGCCCATTCATCATGGGTGTACTTATCCAATATCTCCCACTCACACATGATGGGACTATCTCTCTCTGTGCTTCTTTAAGGTTCATACTTTAGTAAATATGCCGTGTGACCGTACATACTTCGAGAGCATGTTAGTCATATATCTATTAGGAATATATAACTTCTTGAATTGTGAAACTCAGGTTGTATGTTGTATGCAATACCCTAGATTACTTATCACATTTTTCTAACAATCTCATTTATAATAAATATCCGTTGTATTTATAATTATGTTCTGTCTTTACATAAAGTAAAACATAACTGGTCGACCAATGAATACACGTGATTATAGCGTGATAATTCAAAATCGTAATCTTTCTATTTTCTCGATTCTTGCAACTTTCATTTAACTTGCTTTTCTAGAAATATCCCAGCAGATTGAATTTATCTTAATCCTTTGGTAACACTCTAAGATAGCAATCATTAAATGAAGTTTTCAAGAAACAGAATAGAGTTATAAGGGTATTCTATGAGATTTTATTCTTAAAAAAAACTCAAGGTCTTACACAATGTTAAAGTTGAGATTTTGACTTTCATTACCCCTTTGGTCAATGTTTTGCACATGTGGTATGAATCACATACTACAACATTTCCTTCTTTTCCATGGATTGCGTGTCTCTTTTCTTGTAAATGTTGTACAGATTTTAGTTCAGACATACCTAATGTCTAACTTGAGTTCACTTTACATACTTTTAATTCATCAGAACTCTAATCTAGCAATTAGACAAATAAAGTGATCATTTATCACTTATGGTCACATTTCATTATGACATTATTTTAATTCTATTTTGAGGCGACGTTAAATATTTTAAGCTTGGTTCTCTATTATCACCTAGATAATAAGCTTAAAATTGTCTCATCTCCATTCCTACGAAGTAATTGAGGCGATTGCCTGTGTGAGAAGGCCAATCTTTTAACTGTCCGACATGCTTTTCAAAATAGACATATATATAATATTTACATAACTTATATATATATATTATATATATATACTTCTTCCATAATAATCTAAATTGAGCATTGACAATATTGTTATTTAATTTTGATAAGATAAATGTGAACAATTTTGGGAAATCTCAAAGAATAAGTACATTCAACACCTACGTAAGCCTAGAGATCTAACATGTCTATTGAAAGTATCTTGATAAGTTGCATAAATTTAGTGTTTTTAGGTTTGTTTCTATAGCCTTCTAGTTAATTTTTCATTTGTTTTTTGTGTTTTTATGTTAGTTTTTGTTAAGTTTGAAATATGAACGGTTAGCTATTGATTTGGAGAATTTTGTAATTTTCAGGCGTTAATTGAGCAGATTAGAGCATTGGAATGAAATTGGAACTCAAAGCTTGAAGAAATTGAGATTAGTTGACAAGTTTGAAGGCCATGGCCTTGCCTTGGTGGTTCACCACGGCCGTGGTGGTTGAATGAAAATAAAATAACGAGGACAGAAAACACCATGGCCTAGGCTGGGGTGATGTACATTTGGACACGGCCAGGGCTGTGTCGGACACTGCCAGGGCTGTGTCGGACACTTTTAGGGTTTTTATTAATTTTTCTTTCCTTTTTCACTTAGGACTCTTTTGGGTATTTAAGGGTTATTAAGATTACTCCTTGGGGAGACCGAATTTTACCCATTCTTGGAGAGAGATTATTGTGTAACAAAAGAGAAAGGAAAATCAAGAACAAAATTCATCAAAGAGTTTGTTTTTACTTTTCAATATGATTTATTTCTTGGATTCTACTCTTGTTTCTTTTATTATGAACTAATTTTCTCAGGCTAAGACTAGGGTTAGTCTATTTATGGATCTGTGATCAATCTTTTACTCTTTGGTTAGTGAATTATTTTTCTTATGATGAGTTTATATTATGTGCTTAATGTTATTAGGAACTTGATCAATTTCTGATATAATTGTTTTGTGTGATTGAGACCAAGAGGAGATATCACATGAGTGCTCTAGTAATATTGGTCATGGATTAATTGGATATAGAGATATATAAATTGATACATGTAATAGTCATAGGTAGGATTAACTTGTGCTGAAAGCTAGAGGATTTCATAAAGCTTAATGCTCGTCTCGTTCATTAAATCTATATAGAGATATCTAGGTTATGAATTAAAAGTAGAATTAATATTGCTTGAGAAAGAATATTGGTTAACCTAGGAAATCCCATTGTCACATTAATTAAATAAATTCATTGACCATAGTAAATTGAGGGGAGCAAAGAAGTTATAGATGAGCCTGAAGTCTTAGCCGTTTTCTCTTATTGAATTCTTAATTTTAGTTTTACTGCAATTCGTTTCTAATATTCCAGATTTTAATATTTTTAGTTTTAAAGATCACCTTTCTAAGTTTTGATTATCTAGATAAAGTTAAGACTAATTAATATTTCAGTACTTGTTTACGTAATCCATTGGGTACGATAACCTAGGGCAATTTTGGCTTATTATTTTTACCCATATTTCCAATCTTATTCTTCAAATAATGTTTGGCACATTATTCCAGAAATATTACCCTATTTTTTTAATTACTTTTAGACCTCATAAGGTTATTAATTTCATTAAATGGCCCCTGAAAAAAAGTTTAAAAATTAGCAAAATCACCCCCGCGACCCATACTTGCCAGATTCTGGCAACCACCGTCTGTGGTAGCCAGAATCTGTACAACGACCTACCTGCCGACCAGAAATGGCCGGAAGTTCACCGATATGGCCTTTTCGGGCCAGATCCGTGGTGGATCTGGCCGGAAAAGGCCAGATCTGGCCGTAACGACGGCCAAAGAAATGGCCATCGTTGACGGTCAACGACGGCCAAATCTTGGTCATCGTTGACTGAAAACGACGGCCATATCTTTGGCTGTTGCTGACGGCCAAAGATGGTCATCGTTTTGGCCTTTTCCGACCATCGCGGCCACGGCAGGCCGTGGATCTGGCCTTTTCTGACCAGATCCATGGTGGATATGGTCGAAAAAGGGCATAACGATGCGTTACGACACAGATCCGACTGATCTGTGTCGTAACGCGATTTTTCGGCCAGATTCTGGCGGTGGTGGCCGGAATTTGGCACTGCAGGTGGTGGGGGTGTTTTTGTCATTTTATATATTAGGGTGTTTAATTAAATTAGCAAACCTATGGGCTTTTTCATGAATTTTTAAATTTTACCTCGTAATACTCCCCTATCCAACTATCCAATATTATCCCCAAAATCCTATCCAAAATAATAAACCAAACACACCCCTATATTTTGTTATACTATATTACTTGAGACTAGTACACTTG